GAGCTTTCTGGAATACCCAGATAAGATTACCATGTCTGGGTTCACAGCCCAAGGCTGAAGTCCTTAGACCACAGCATTTCCCAGGAGTCCTGTCTGCACCTCCATCATGGCCCCTTCCTTACCTGTGTGTCAGACCTCTGCACCCACTCCCTTCCCCAAACACAACACTCTCTCTGCATCTTCTTCCTCTTCCTACCCGGTCCCCTGCTACTGCTCCTCTCATCTCTGGAGACGCCTCATTTCCACAGAGAAGTCTTGCCTCCCCCTGCCAGCCCCGCTGGGTTCCCTACGCTCCCGACACTAGCTGTCTGGCTGGGATTCCTTATGCTGTCCTTGTAGGGCTGAGTTCTGTGAGCACCTTAGGCCTTAGGTGAGTGCCCACCTGTTGCACACTGGTACACTGCAGATCGCAGTACCAGGCCTGGTTTGAAAAGCAGTGGGTGGTTGCTTCTTCCATGGGGAGGTGAAGGGGTCCGAGTCATCTGAGCATTGGCTAAAGTGAATTTAATCCTTTGCTGGCTAGCTTTCTATTCATCACTGTACATTAGAAAGGGACTGCAAACAGGCCTGGTGCTTTGTAACTTTTTCTTAAAGACATTTCTTATTCCTCTACATAGCCCAGGGTTGGTTGTAACGGTGACACTGGATGCTTAGCAAAACCAGACGACAGCTTGCTGTGTAGCCCAGGCTGGTCTTGAACTTGAAGCCATCTGTGTCTACCCCCAATGCCTCAGCCATGAGTGTTTCGACTCCCACCACACTCTTGTTACTAGGGGCTGAACTAGCGCTTCATGCCCCTGAAGGCGGCGTCTTTGTTGACTGCTCTGTGCTGTCCTCACTCCACCCTACTTATTTTTTTTTAAAGACAGGAGCTAACCTTAACCTTGCTGTGGATCAAGCCCCTGGTCCTCTTACGTCTGCCCCCAGTGCTGGGTTATAGGCGAGCATGTCCAGCCTGGCCTAGAGCCAATCCTCCTGCCACCAGGCCTAGCTACCCCGTCTGCCTCTGAACTTGCAATGGGACAAGCTCTGGAACCTGCTGAGGACTGTACCTGGTGTTGCTAGGTTTTCCTGACGGGGAATGCTTGGTGCTGTTCTGAAGTTTTTGTTTACCAAGGTTGCTTTTTTCGCTGTAGGCATTACTTCTGTCTGCTCGCCATCACAATGGGCCCTGGCTCACCCTCATCCCAGTGTGTTATTGGGAAAACTGGGAGCCTGTGTGTAAGATAGACATTTGGCTGCTTAGAAGTTTAGAAGCTTCTGGGTGGATTCTTGTCAAGGGCAGTGAGCAGAGACCATTGGCCGAGGGACAGAGTTCTCCATGGGGTGTTCCTGTATGGCCTTGGTCAGCTCTGCTGTGGGTCTCTGGGACTCCCATGGCCTCTGGGGGTGACCTTGGCCTTCAGCTGGGCCCTCCTGGACGGTCACCTTTACACTTTACGCTCACACCCTGCACCCTGGCCTGCTGCCAGCGCGTTTCTTTCCCAGTGGCTGGAAACTGATTGGCTGGGTGGGAGGACAGAGGTGCCTTTGTGCCTCGCGTGCTTCGGAGAATTTAGAGCGGGCATTCAGAGAGAGTCTTAGGCCAAGCCAAATTATGCAGATTTGGGTTTTCTCGGTAGGGTTTCCCATGAGCAGGCATGTAGGCAGCTTGCTGGCCTTCTCGGCTTTGTGGTCTGGAATTCCCCAGGACGTGTTACACAGGCTTCCCCTATTGGTTGTTCTGAAATAAACAGTTCAGTGTAAGACTAATCCTAACGGCTTTTATCGAGATTTTTGCCAAATCTTCCTGCTTCAATGGATTTATTTCTCAAACCAAACTATAAAGCAACTTTCTGCCTAAGGACACAACGCTGACTCCTTGTGAGGAGATTTGGGTGGAGGGATGGCAAGACAGGGTGTCCCTAGGGCTCCCTCATGTGGCCTGAGGAGCCACACACTCGTACCCCGAGGTGCGGAGAGGAACCTGGAAGTTACTGGTCTAGTGAAGACCTAGGTTCTCCCTATCTCGGGTTCTTTTGTATTCTAATTCCGTGGGCTGGGGTCTGATAATGATAATGCTGGCCGTCCCTGGCTGAGGGCAGGTCCACTGAGAGGACAGCAGGGTTTCTGTAGTCCTGGGCTGTCTGTAAGGGAATCTCCAGCTACTTATTTTGGGGATGAAGGTATACATGAGAGGTTTAGGTTTTTGGAGACAAGGTATGTGTCATCCTGGCTGGCTTTACTGTGTAGCTGAGGATAGATGGGTGGCCTTGGGTTCCTGATTCTGCCTCTTATTACTGAAGTATTGTTTGTCTTTGTTCATCGACTCTTTCCCAGGTAGTTTTGGTTTTGGATTTAGCTTGCTTGGTTGACTTATGTTTTTGCTTTGTTCTCTGAGATAAGGTCTGGTGTAGCCCAACCTGGGCTCTGACTCAGATGTCCTGTGAGAGCCTCTGGACCTTCGGACTCGAGGCCTGAAAACCAACCCAGCCTGAGGTGGCTTCCGCTCTTCTCCTGCGGCTTAGTCTGTTCCTAGCCCTTCCTCCCTGATGTTCCATCTGTGTTTTCTGCCTTCACCTTGTGATAGCGGTGTCTGGGGCTATGTCTCCAGCTGTGTCTCCAGCATGTGACAGACTCAGCTGGCTCAAGGAATTAGTCCAGTTGCAGGTGCAGAGTTAGCGCTTGTGTTTGTGTGTGTTTGTTGTGACTTACTAGGTATCAGCACTGCTCTTTCTTCTTTGTGTTTATTGTTCGAGTATGTGCCTGTGTGTGTGTTCGCGTGTGTGTGTCAGAGGACAACTTGAAGGTGTTGGCTCTGCTTTATGGGTGGTCAAACTCCAGTCACCAGACTTGGCAGCAAGCACCCTGGCCACTGAGCCATCTCACCAGCAGCAAAGGAAGTAGGACTGAAAACAAGGCTTTGCACCATGAAGGGAAGTCTGCTGGGAATGAAGAGACGGGGCCCAAGTTAGATGGGGTAGGAGCTCTAAGTTTGCCAGAGTCCTTGCCACCCTGCACCCAGTCTGTCACAGCACTGACGTCACACCTGGTTGAAAACATGAAAGATCCCACACCTCTGCCTCTGCCAAAGTGGGAGCGAGAGATCCAGAGCCCGTGGGCAGAAGGGAGTTTATTTGCTGAGAGCCAAGCGTTCTAAGTTTGCTGCACCCTGGCTCCTCACAGTTAAGCTGTGAATCTAATGCATGGTTAGGTTTGTCCCTCTTCCTCCCACCCTTCCAGCTGCTGGTGCTAAAGCTGAACCCAGGGCCTCACTAGTCAAGGCCCCTCCCCTCCCCACCCCACCCCACCGCCACACCCCAGCCATCTTTCTCTCCTGAGTTCCTTGGAATGAGTGTCCCTCCCCGTCCTCGTTTTGGATGTGGTAAATATGCAAAGTGGAAGTGTTCTAATTAACTCTAATCCTAGCCCAGCAAAAGCAGAGGCAGGAGGAACACTCCTGTGTGGCCGACATGCCGAGTACTAGTCCAGCCTCGGCTGCAGTGCGAGACTGTGTCTCGTTTGTTTTCTTTCTCTTTCTGTGTAGACCAGGCTGGCTTCAAACTCAAGAGATCCTACCCCTGCCTCCGAGTGCTGCGATTAAAGGTGTGCACCATCACCCTAAGAGATACTTTATTTTTATAAAGTGGCTGATGTAAAATAATTCATTCTGGCTGGAGAAGTGGCTTAGCTGTTAAGAGCACTGGCTGCTCCCCAGGGGAACCACCACCCACTTCTGACCTGAGGGCACCAAGCATACATGTGGTGCACATACACACATACAAGCAAAACTCCCATACATGTAAATATATTTCAAAACATTTTTTTAAATTCTGAGGAGGTTTCGTGCCATTTAGGCTGGTGTTGAACTCAGTATGTAGGTGAGGCTGCCCTTGAACACTTCCTGCCTCTGCTCACAAGAGGTGGGATTTTAGGTGTGAGCCACTAAATGTGTGTCCATGTGTGCCAACAGTGTGCACATAGAGGTCTGAGAGTTGATTCTTTATTCTACCGTGTGCATCCTGGGAACCAAACTCAGGGCCTCAGGCTTGACAGCAAGCACCACTGAGCCAGCTTGCAAGCCCATGCTTGATTTCTTTTTTTTTTTTTTTTTTGGTTTTTCGAGACAGGGTTTCTCTGTGTAGCCCTGGCTGTCCTGGAACTCACTCTGTAGACCAGGCTGGCCTCAAACTCAGAGATCCGCCTGCGTCTGCCTCCCAAGTGCTGGGATTAAAGGCATGCGCCACCACCCCCCGGTTCCATGCTTGATTTCTTAAAATGAGTTTGTAAACTGAACACTGGAAGTGGATCCTGTAAAAAAAATAAAAATTAAAAAATTAAAAAAAAAAAAAAAAGGAAGTGCATCCTGTAATCCCAGCTCTTCAGAGGCTGAGGCAGGAGGATTGCCTTGAGTATCAGGTAAAACCCCAGGGACAGGAAGGTGAGAAGACATGAAGTTGTAGCCAGGAGTGGTGACATCTACATGCATAGTCCCAGTGTCTCAGCTGCCTGGGTGATTGAGGCCAGCCTAGCAGTATGAGGTTCCACCTGAGAAGGAGGAAGGAAATGCGAGCCTGTGAGAGCTGCCATGGGGTGTTTTGTTGTTTGGGGTGTTTTGGTTTTTAGATTTTGAGACAGGGTTTCAGGATGTAGTCCAAGGGGACCTCAAACTTGCTGTGATATAATATAGCCCAGGTTGGCCTTGAACTTAACATCCTTCTACCTTCTGCCTTAGGCTCCTGAGCACCAGGGTGACAACAGGTCTGTGGGCCATGCTTGACTGTATCACAAGTTAATGTGTTCAGTAGTCAGTAACATTTGAGATGTGTGAGAGGGCCCTCTAGTGTCTTTTTGTGGCATGGCAGTCACCGGTGCAGTTCTCGTGGTCTGGCTAAGCTGACACTCAGAAGCGGATCTTGAGGGGCTGTGTGCATTGCCCGGTGTTGTCCTCTGCCAGGTCAGCTGTGGGCAGGTGTCTTTCTTTGTGGGTCTGTAACGGTCCTGTGTTTGCTCTCTCCAAGCAGAAGAAGCTGACTACAGTGCCTTTGGCACCGACACGCTCATCAGGAAGAAGAACGTGCTGAGCAACGTGCTGCGTCCCGACAACCACAGGAAGAAGCCTCACATCGTCATCAGCATGCCGCAGGACTTCCGGCCCGTGTCATCCATCATCGACGTCGACATCCTCCCGGAGACCCACCGAAGGGTCCGTCTGTACAAGTATGGCACAGAGAAACCCCTGGGCTTTTACATCCGGGATGGCTCCAGCGTCCGGGTAACACCGCATGGCTTAGAGAAAGTCCCTGGGATCTTCATATCTCGGCTCGTCCCCGGGGGTCTGGCCCAGAGCACGGGCCTGCTGGCTGTCAACGATGAAGTTTTAGAAGTGAACGGTATAGAGGTGTCGGGGAAGAGCCTGGACCAGGTGACTGATATGATGATAGCCAACAGCCGCAACCTCATCATCACCGTGCGGCCGGCTAACCAGCGGAACAACGTGGTGCGCAACAGTCGGACTTCTGGCAGCTCCAGCCAGTCTACCGACAACAGCCTCCTGGGCTACCCACAGCAGGTGGAGGCCAGCTTCGAACCAGAGGACCAGGACAGCGATGAGGATGACATCATCATTGAAGACAGTGGTGAGCCACAACAGATCCCTAAGGCCACCCCTGACGCCCAGAGCCTGGAGTCCCTGACACAGATCGAGCTCAACTTTGAGTCAGGACAGAATGGATTCTCTCCTCAGGACACGAGCCTGTTGCCTGTGCCTGGCAGCCCGGACACAGAGCTAGAAAGCCGAGCTCCGGACCAGAAACTCTTAGAGGAAGATGGAACAATCATCACACTGTGAGCCGCCACGGTGGTTTCTGAGTGAGGGTGTGAGGAACGGTGTAAGCCTGGCACATGACTGATGCTGTGGACCTCGGGGCCATGCTGTTCCATGACAGGTCTCAAGTGTGGCTGGGGCGGGAAGGGTGTCTGCCGGGCCAGGCTGCCATGACACGAGCTTGAGGCCTTAGCTGCAGAGCAGGTGCTTCTCTAACTGAGACCTGCCTGGAGCCGTGCTGCGGGCCTGTGTCCTCCTGCCTGCAGAGCCTGCTCTTCACCCTCTTGTGAAGTCTGATCATCTCTGTTAGCCACTGGGAACCTCGGTTCTTCGATTCCCAGCGTTTATGCTTTCTGACTTTAAAGTGTTCCTCTGTTAACTGTGACAAATTATTTTTTCATGTGCAGTTTTTGTTCTGTCTTCCGTTTTCTAAGACTTTAGCTGGCCATGTTTAGGGTCACCTCTCCCCTGGTCATGGAGCAGCTCCTGTTGTCCCCACCCTGGAGCTTTACAGTTGCAGGGTGCTATAGTCCTTCATCCCTAGTCCATTGGAGATTGTTTCAGTGCGTGCACGTGTGTGCTTGTGTACATGTGTGTGTACATGTGTGTGCACGCGTGTACGTGTGTGTGTGTGTATGTGTGTGTGTATGTGTGTGTGCGCGCGCGCACATGAGATTTGCAGCACAGTTAGTTGGCTCCCACACTCTTCAAGTGTACCAGGCGGTGTGGATCATTAGATAAAAAGGCCCCCAGGTTCAGAGACTTACACACAATACAGATGTGCACTTTGTATTCAGAAGACGGGGTTTTCTTCCTGGGGATTCTAGGGTGCTGCCTGCGTTTGGGGAAGCCCATGTAGGTTCACCACTCTCAGGGGTGGTGATCATTTGAGTCTATTCTTTCCTGTGCGTCCATTCAGGATGAGGGAACTGCAGTTGTCTTCCCTTACCTGGCTCCCTCATGTTACATGCACAGCCACCAAGAGGCAAACGTGGGCTTAGGCTGCCCTGAGGCCTGAGGTGGACAGTTATTTATTTCTTACCCTTACGGTGGCCAAGTGTGGACACCTCACAGCTGTATACTGACTCCGAGTTGAAGGACTTCTTTGTTCCATATTAAGAGCCGGCAGAAGTGAAGTCTTGATCCAGTGAAGGGTGCCGGACTCCATCGCCACCGAGCGTGTTATCTGCGAGCACCTGGCTCAGGCAGGGTGCAATGACCCCCGACTGATGGACTCACTGAGTTCCTCCTCTCACGAGGCACCACTTGCTAACAGCGTTCCCTCTCTGACACTGCACCACGCAGTGTGGCTCTTGGGTGGAAGGCCGCCATAGGCACAGAAGGCTCAGTTGCATACATGAATTAGGGGTGCATGGGCTCAAAGCTGTAAGTAAAGATATTTCACATACTACCTCTCTTCTCTCTTTCCCTCCCTCCCTCCCTCCCTCCCTCCCTCCCTCCCGCCCTCCCTCCCTCCCTCCTTCCCTCTCTCTCTCTCTCTCTCTCTCTCTTTCTCTCTCTCTCTCTTTTTAACAGAGTTTTAACATTAAAAGTTTTCTCTTGGGGAAGAAATACTTCAGGGCTGGACTTTTGTACACATTTTAACTAAACACAGTTTTCTCTTCTGTTTGAAAATGGAGATGAAAGCTGCTGACAGTGATTTTAATTTAAAGGACAATAGTGTTAGCCGTGAGATGGTACCAATGAAGTGAGTGGTCAGTAGACCTTCTGTGAGGCCAGCTGGTCTTGGCTACGGGGGTCCCGTCCCGTCCCGTCGGCTCAGTTCTTTAGTTCAGGGGCATAAGTGTCAGTGACTTGGCGCGCAGTTCTGTTGCCCCAAACTTCCGAGCCTCACTGTGAATTCTGTTCTGTCCTCCGTCAACCATGTCAACCAGATGCTGTGCTGTTGTGAACCATGAATTTTCTAATTAAATTTTACATGCTATAACATGATTTTTACATGAATGATACTTTGTTTAAACTATTAAATGTCAGTATTTTACTACAATTTTATTATAAAATGTACATTATCACTAAATGAACTTTGATTTAAAAAAAATCAAGTTAGCTTTAGTTACATATTATTTTTTACAAATAAAAACGGACTTGTATAAAGGCTACTTTCTTGTTTGGAATTGTATGAAAAGAGTATGTAAGGATAGTACCAAGCATCCTTAGTCACTGCCTAGGGAGTGAAACTGAGGACTAAGTGCTGAGCACCCGGCCTCAGTCACCACGTTCCACACCCTGAGCTACACACCAAGCCTGTTTTACTCTTGTATTTTGAGTAGTCCAGGCTGGACTCCAACTCCTGGCACTCTCTGAACTGTGATAACAGACACAGGCCATGTGGCCATTCCCTGGTGGTTTTGTTTTGTTTTATTTTAGGCCAGGTGCAGTGACATGCCTTTTAGGTCTAGCACTCAAGAGGCAGAGGCAGTCAGATCTCTTGACTCCTGGGCCAGCCTAAGCTACACATTGAGGACATGTTTTATTGAGATACAGTATTTTGTGTGTGAGAACACAAGTATATTTGTGAATGTGTGGATGTTGGGCCACAGCTTGCTTGTGAAGGTCAGAGGACAGCTTGTAGGAGTTGGTTCTTGCCCACTGTGTCAGGGAGGGTCTCCTCATGTAGCCTGGGTTAGCCTGAGACTTACACTCCTGCTCCTGCTTGCTGTGTACTGGGTTCTCAGAGGCCTATGCCCAGATGTCTATGGTTTGCTTTTCTCTTTTGGATTTTCGTTTATTTGACTTCAGTTTTGGGAGGTTTTGGTTTGGTTTTGGTTTTTTATCTGAGCACAGTTATTTTAGAAAGTCTTCTGTAGCCTCAGGCTAGCCTTGAACTCCTGAAACTAGCGTTTCCTGCCTCTACTCCCAGGTATTAGCATTACAGGCAGATGCCAACAGCCTTGTCTCCTGTTTGGGTTCCGGTTTTGGAACTTGATAGGTGACCTGACTGGCCTTGAACTCACCTGCCTCTGCTTCCTGAGTGCTGGCACACCACCTCTTGGTTTTTTTGTTTGTTTTTTGAGTGTTCACTATGTAGCTCAGGTTAACCTTGAACTTGATTTGTTCTGACTTGGGGGTCGGGTCCCAGGTATATGTATCCTTTATTTTGTGGGCCCAGGTGGGTGGGCCACAGCAAGTGCATAGAGATCAAAGGACAGCTCTCAAGAATGTCTCCATCCACATGGGTTCTGGGGATCCACAGTCTAGACAGCAAGCACTTTTAGCACCAGGCCATCTTGCTAGAGGCTGGTATGAATATACCAACTTGTATGGCTGCGTTCCTACACTCGGTGATTATTTCCTCTGGCCCTGGATTGAATCATGCCCTGTACCACCCAAGTGTGTAAGCAGAGTGGTGTCTGTGGGTCTGTACTAGGAAGCTCTAGGTGGTTTGGACCAGTGAGATTTCCTGGCCTGTGGAACTGAACAGCTGAGTCTTGCTGAGAAACAGGCAGAAAGACCCTGTCTTAAAAAAGAAAAAGAAATGTAGACAGTTCACTGATTTAAAACATTAATGCTTGCCAGACCTGGTAGCACAAGCCTGCCATTCCAGCTACTGGGGAGGCTGAGGCAAGAGGATCGCAAGTTCAAGGCCAGTCTGGACAACTTCTGTTCCATGTCGGAAGTGAACAGCTGGGATGCCAGTGGTAGAGAGCTCACCTAACATGCATGAGCTTATAGGTTTGGCCCCAGTACCAAAAAGTAACTGGTGCACCGAGGCTGTGGCTCATTCAGTAAGGAGCTTGTTACACAAGCGTGGGGCCGTGCGTTAGAGCCAGGTACTGTACAGCCCTGGCTGTGACTGGCTGACTTGTAATCTTAGTGGGATCAGTTCTTGATTCAGTAGGAGACCTTGTGTCAGAAAAATAAGATGGAGGGCCAGCAAGATGGTTCGGTGAGTAGAGGTGCTTGCTGCCCAGTCTTAACAATCCAGATTCACTCCCCAGAACCCACATAATGGAGAGAACCAACTCCTTCAAGTTGTTCTCTAACCACAAACACAGTGCTTTTCTTGGTTGGTTGGGTTCGGTTTTTCACGACAGGGTTTTTCTGTGTTGCCTTGGCTGACCTGGAACTTGCTCTGTGCTGGAATTAAAGGTTCATACCAGCATACATTCTTTAAATCAGGTGCAGAGCAGTTGAGAAGACATTCAGTGTTAACCTCAAACTCTGCATGTAAGTTTGCATATGTACATGTGTGCTGTCGTGAACGTGTGTATGCCACATGTGTATACATGAACATGTGCATGCCACAGACATGCACACAACCATCAGTGGCTGGTGACTACAACCTAGGCAGGGCCCTCCCTGTTTCCCTCTTACTCCTTCTCTCAGGCAGGTTTCCTCCTTGCGGAGAAGGTGGCCTACAGAGACCCATTCCATCCCTTTACTCAGTGTCTTTGACCCACCCTGTGCCTGAACCAAGCAAGCCCAGTGACGTCTGTGCCCCAGCCTGGGATACACATTGGGATACTAGCCTCTCAGGAAGAAGGTTTAAGTACAGATACCTTGTCTCAATACAAGAAAAAATAAGCAATGTACCAGACATGGGGACTGGAGAGATGGCGCAGTGGTTAAGAACACTGGCTGCTCATCTAGAGGACCCAGGTTCAATTCCCAGCACCCATGTCTGGTGGCTTAGAACAGCCTGTAACTCCAGCTCCAGGGGACCCCTTCCAGCCTCTGTGGACACACACACACACGCGCACACACGACATTTACTTATGGACACAAATCTTGTGTAAATAGATACACATCCCTCTGCAGTGGGTGGGAACATACAGTGCTAAATTTTCTTGCTGGTTCTAATGTCCTAGGGCTGGAGTGGAACAGGGCGGATAGGGACAAATGGGTGCTCTGAACCCCTGAAGTAGAGGGTTCTGGGTAACACTGCCTGGTCTGGAGCATACAATGTAGATCAGGCTGGTTCCATTATGAATGCTGGCACTGTAGGTTTGGGCCACTGTGTCTTGTCCTTTAATCTTAGGACAGGATCTCCTGTAATCTAGACTGGCCTCAAACTCACTCAATACGCTAGGATGACTTTGAACTCCTAATCCTCCTGCCTCTCCCTCTCACATGCTGGCAATTATAAAACATGAGCCACCACACCTGGCTTTTTCTTCCTATCTTCCTGGGAATTGAACTCAGAAACTTGAGCAGTCTGGGCAACACTAAAGCTCTGCCTGGCAGCCTCAGCTCGATATGGTTTCTAGCTTTAATAAGCCCTCAGGAGTTGTGTCTTCTACACCCGTCAGCTTCTAGACTGCATCAAGGCAGGTACCCGTTCTTGGAGCCTGGAATTCATTTCCACTTGTGTCATTGGCTAGCTCTGTAGACAAGGCTAGCCCTTGGTATGGCTGACGTTCTCACTGCAGCAACTTAAATCAGTCTGGAGCAGTCCTGCCCTGCGTATCAGCAAGGTGAAGGAATGTGGCCCTTCAGAAACAGTTCTGATGGCTCCTCTGATAAAGTCCTCACAGCAGGGCAGGAATCTCTGAAGGCATGCAGTGAGCCCCAGGGAACCCCAGGCTGCATGGCTGTGTTGTGTCATCTGCTAGGAGACAAGCCAGCATCTGAGCCACTACAGCCCACTGATGCCTGTCAGCATAGCCCTCTTCTCTGTCCAGATTCCCAGAATGCTCAAGGACATGAGCAAAGAGTGCTCATACCGTTCGTTCTCATACAGCAGGAGGCTGCTCTCAACTCAGGCATGCAGCCTGTACTGGAGTTCTAGAACATAACTTGTTCCCAGGCTACCTGGCCAGGAGGGCCAGAGATGCAAGGGAAGCTATTTCCAGCCCTTGGCTGTTTGTCTCAGGAAGGTATGTGCCCTAACGGACTGTCCAAGTGTGTGCTTAGTGACTCAGAAACTAAATCATTAACTCAGCAGTTAGCTGGAGAGCCGCAGCCTGCCTGCCTTCCAGGGATGCCAGGACAATACTGAATGAGGGTGACAGTGCCAGGCGGGCTTCTCGGAGAGATGTAAGCAACCTTCGCCTCGATTGGAATCAGAGAGTAGCTATAACTCAACAGTCCACACAGGGAGCCAGACAAAGAATGATCATTTCTTTGGGTGAATCATGGGGGATGCTGGTTTCAAAACTCACAGTGGGGACCTGAGAGGTGGTTCAGCAGGTAAAGGCACTGCCGGCGAGCCTGATGACCTGAGTTTGATCCCCCAGGAGTCAAACTGGGGGGTCCTGAAAATTGTCCTCTAACCCGCAGATCCATGCCATGGCACACACATATCTACACACATATGTAAATAGATGAGAAAATAAGAACAATAAATAAAAGCACGTGAGGCCTGGGGGCACGGCTCAGTTGGTAGATCTTGCCTCGAATCCACATGGTCCTGGGTCCCATTCCCAGCACAGAATAACCCAGCATTTTGATACATGCCTGTGTGGCCAGCATTCTGGAGGTTAA